CCATGGCTCCGGGAGTAAATTTAGCCGCGCGAGTCTAATTTCTTCCGCGGCTACTTTTAGACTCGATGGATCTATTAGGTAGATTCACATGCCCCTATAACACGGGGGAACAAACAACCCCTAGCGTTATAGGAAACATGCACTGCTCCAACCTAAAGCAACCCAACCCTTGATACGAACGAGACGCGCTCTCCTTTTGTAACCGGGTTGCGCTGGAGTCTCTAGCTGACGCAGAGCGGTGCACTGCCGTGCACGGCTTCAGCTAGGGAAGGCTCTATTAACCCCCTCTTCAGTGTCCAGCGCAACCCGGCCTTCGCTAAGCTCCCCCACTTCAGAGCGGGTTGCGTGAGCCTGGCGTCGCGACATGCGAGAAAATGTAAAGGCATGCGCATGCTGCTTTTGTTTTCAATTAACTGGAGAAAGGCGCGCTATTTATCCAGTGCTCGGCCGTGCTCAAGCAGCTGTGCAAGGCAGTGTGGGCTGAAATCCCCCTGTGGCCGCGCGGTGCTCGGGCCTCCACGGTGCATCGGAAGGATGCAGCGTCAATCGTCGGCTCGAGGAATTGATGTTTTCAGGGGTAAAGCGGTGCCGGTGCTGGGACTGGTTAGCAAAGCGTGACAGCCTGTCTCGGCTGAGGTCATCGGCCCACCCATTGGCGGAGCCTGCAATGTGTGTTGGCTGCAACACTACATTGTGCGAATGCGCCCAAGACGCGATGAGCTGCAAAAAGACTTGCATAGGCCAGGACGTAGTAAACATTTTGTTAATGTCGGCTTCTGTTGCCGAATTATCGGTGCCCGATGGCAACGTAAAATGATAGTGTCCCTGGCCTGAAGTTGCATGGGCAACTTGTAGTAATGCGAATTGGGCTATGGTCTCAAAGCATGCTATGTAGCGCTGTGCTGGCTTGGTCAGAAAAGGCCAAGTTTGCCGAATGTCCGACATGGACCATGTTTCTCCAAACCATGCAAATGCGTTGCTGGTGAGGAACCATCCGCCTATCCCTACGGTGTCTCCTTCTGCGCAAGCGTCAGCGGCGGCTAGGCAGGGCAATAATGGTGGCAAGGCCAGAGGAACAGTCGGGGTGCTAGCAAAGCACCGCGACAGCCAAATGAGGCAAGCCTTACTGTCCTTGCGTAGGGTGACGGTGGGCGAGTTTGGGTCTGAGATCCTAACCCATGTCGGCTTCTGCGACGCTGGCACGGCGGGCAGGTCGGCTCTGCAGCGCACTGGCTTGCCTGAACACTCAATCACTCTAGCGAGTGTTGGGATCCATAGTCCTGGCATGGCGCGGGTTGCGCGACCCGTCGAGTCCAAGCTGGATAGGAAGGACTGCCATGTGGAAGCCGAAACGGAGTACATGCTCCCTGGAGGGCTATGCAAGTCAGAGTACAACGGGGCAAGCCAAGGCCGCAAGTGCTTGGAGATGCTAGTTGCCCAGATAAGCAGGCCCAGGCATTGTTCTAGGGCCTTGCGTGGTACTTTATGGGCTTGGCTCAAGTTTTCCAGCTGCTGACGCAGCTTATCCAACTTGGCATCCATCAAATGTATGGTGTCGTGGCCAAAATGCACTGACCACCCGCACCAGTTGATCTGATCCTGAAACTGGGCTTTTTTCCAGGAAATAGGGGCGGAGATGGCACAGAAGAAGATGGCCATGATGGCCAGCTGTTCGCCCCCTGCTGATCTACACAAAGCTGCCAGCAAGTCATCCACGAAGAGCCAGGCTTTGTGTGGCAACATGGCTAGCAGGCCGTGCGTTAGGCGCAACATAAAGGCACCTGTCCGTTGCCACCAGAAAGCGGAGAAGCGGCCCCCAAAGTGGCAAACGCGGTAGTGGTAAAGTTCGCCCTGAAATCTGAAGAGCAAAAGGCCATGCTCGTCAGGGTGAACTTGAATTTGTTTGTGCGCGGCTTTGAAATCGAAGCTGGCGCCAATGAAGGCGCTGTGCGCGTCTTTGCAGTGCGTGGCAAGGCACAAATCTGAGGCCATTGGGAGGCTTACCTGTTCAGGCAAATGGCACCGTGGGTTCACGTTGCACACTGTGCTATCCAAGACAAGGCGTGGCTCTTTATTGTCTGCAAAAACAACATTAAGCTTTCCCACGGCCACCCCCTTTGGCCAGCGTGCATGAGCTTCGGCTTCGGAGCAGTGCGCGCGGACTACCCATCCGCTAGCAATCTCTTTTTCCAAAAGAGCTTTCACTACCTCTGGCTCAGATTCGGCGTTTTTCCAATTTTGGTCGCAGATTTCAAAAGGCGGTGCTGTGCTTTCTGAGTTGGCCACTGAAAGCTGCGTGGCAACGGTGAGATGGCTCCTGTTGGCACACCTGTTTCTAGCAGCGGCAGCAACGCCATATCTGGGTCGCTGGATGCGACTCCCATGGCTTGCAGCAGGCGCAGCCGATATGGCTGGCCTGGGTTGGGCTCCCAGCATTCGGGCGGTGCCGAGTTCAATGCCTTGAAAGCGAGCATGGCGCATTCGATCCCCTCTTCTTGCGAGAGAGGCGGTTCTGGGCGTGCCTGAGCGATGTGGGCCCCGATGCGTGGCACCACATCATTGTTCTTTGCCCACTGCAGCCATGCCTGTGCGACTGGCTGCAGAGGGTGGCCTGGATGTGGTATGCTCCAATCTGCGGTAGAGTGCATGCCTGCTCCGTCACACACGCGTAGGCGGCATGCGTGAAGGGTTGGCGTTAGCGAGTCCTGCGGAGCGTAGTCCCCTGGCAGCGGCAGGGCAGTGGGCTTGAGGTCTGATGGTGAGACCTTGTGTTCCCCGACTTGGGCTATGGCCATAGCCAAGGACGGGGGGTACTCTGCTGTGAGTGTGCTGGCCCAGACGCCGTTCACTTTAACCCCTGCGAAGCTGGGGTGTGGCTTTGCATGGCCGCATTGGGCTGCCAGCTGCTGGATTTTGGGACAGTTGCTGGTAAAAGACCAGGACTTGGCTATGTCTAGATGGTGGTGGCAGGCGGCCACCCAGGCCATATGTGCATGGCATTGCTGAAGCATAGCGAGGTTTTCGGGTTCCAGCCAGGCCATTGACGAAGGGGGCTGTTCCAGGATGGCAATGCCTCCTTTGGCGACGACTGCTTCGAATATGGCACGTCCACGGGCGTGGATCTCACTGCTGTCTTTAACCCGTTGTTGCAGGTGCGGCGGCAAGTTGGGCACGCCCTGCATAAATTTTGGCGTGCGTAGGGGTCGGGGTCCCCCTGGCTTGAGTTTTAGTCTGCTATACTCTTTGCACGGCGGTGCAATCATAACGAACTTAACCAAGCCGGACCATGCAAGTCGAAGGAGGACTTCGAAAGTGGGGTCGTGCAGGATATCGTGTTGGGCATTGCCGTCTAGGTCGAAAGGTTCAAAGCATGCCTTGCGGAGCTTTTGCATGGCGGCTGTCACGGGGTGGCATCGGCCTGCAAAGACATCCAGGAAAAAGCCCTGCGGGGCTTGGCTGCATGGCTGGGCAGTGCGCTGGCCGTTTTGTTCTTGACCTGAATTGGGGGTGTGCAAGGGTGCGGCTGCACGATGCCAGTCCGGGTCAGCGGCCGCTGACTGGCTCGGACCTTGTCAGGTGTGATTTGGATGGTCCTTGGCGGGGTGGGGCTTTTGACACCCTGGCACGGCGCAAACGTGGGCGAATTTGCAGTTTTCTGCCTGGCATTTCCCTACCTGATATCGTTTGCACACCTCCTTGCCCTGGTACGATTGTACCCAGTCGCTGCTCAGCGTGAGCTTCTTGGCCTTTCCCTTTGCCCTTTCGTGCTGCCTTTTTGGGCTGTGTCTGCGCGGGCGGCGCAGAGCGCTTGTCACGCGCTCGGGGAGTGCGAGGCGGGGCTGGTGGCGGTGGAGGCTGACGTGGCACTTTGGGTCGGAGTTGCAGTAGGCTAGGCAAGTCGTTTCGCATAGCTGTGACCTCGTGCAGTGCGTCATCTAGGCTCCAGCTCTGAGCCAGTAGCTCAGAGATAACGCCCCAGATTTTGCGGTCAGCGGCCAGCAATTCCTGGGTGTTGACTGTCCGCAGACCCAGGATTGGGTCGGGTGCGGCCAGGCATAGGTCGGCCACTTTCTTGTCGAAAGCTTTCAGGTTCGACAAGTGCGCGGCTTGGCACAGGGCGATGGCGTTGCGAAATATGGTTTGTACCTTGACGAGCCAACCTGCGGAAAGTGCGCGGGAGTCAACCGACACTTCTGGAGTATCGTCGAAAAAGGCGTGGCTTAGCAGTTGCATCTCTGAGCGCACGGCTTTGCTCGACTTGGCTACCATAATCTCCTGGTATTGCCGAGCTGACAGGCGGAGTTGCCATGGAACCCAGCGCATGGCTTGGCCGGGCTTGAGTCCATGGTGCACCAGGCTCAACAGGCGTATGCTGGGCGATGTGTCGCTATCCAGCAATTCTCCGGGGTAGTTGGCCCGGAATGCCTCTTCTAGTTTACGCACTGCTTCCTCGGTGAGCTTGGGAGGGAGCATCTCTGTCCAAGTGGCTGGGCTAGGCGTGGCGTCCACAGTTGGCGGGGCTGGCAACGTTGTGCTTTTGGGCATGTTCTGACGGCATGCGCTCCAGGCCTGGCGAACCCTGGATGCGTGCACAGACGACAGCGGGTCGTCGGTGTCCAGGGTGTGCCAGTCTGTTTCGGGCAATGCCAGCAGGAAGGGGTTCAAGTTCTCCACTGACGGAAATGCAAAGGCAAAGTCCGCAGTGCAGTCGAAACCCTTGGAAAAAATGTGCTCTTGGAGCACCTCAGGTATGCGGAAGGAGTTCAGTAGTTGCACGAACTCTTCTTTGTGGGCGTCGACTTCATCGTTTGCCATCATGGGGGGAGGCCACTCCTAAATGAAGAAGAAATGGCTGCGGGACACAGTTTTGGCGGTGCAGGTACATGGTGCGGCGGCACAAACTGAATTATGCGGAACCTGCTCTGCCCGCCTGGGTGAAGTGCTACACCTGGGCTGTGACCAGCAAAACCCATGTGCAATGCATGTGGGTGGGGTACCTTTCACTCCTGCGTGGCTTGGGCGAAAAAGGCTTTGCATGCTTTGCGCTGGCAAAATGTGAGACCGGAGAGCTTGTATACCAAGCAGGTGCCTGGGCGCAGTGCCAGACCGCATGCCGTGGCGTTGCAGGATGCGTCTGTGTCATCCGTGTACTGTATGGCGTGCGTCACGCCCCAAGGCGCCAGGCGAGCTCCCAAGGCTGCTTTGCACGGGATGCACAGAGAGGGCAAATCCTCTTTGTCAGGTTCGGTGCCTGACGAGCTTTCCGATTCGGAGTTGGATTGGTCGAGGGCAAGCGCCAACACTGCGGTTGCCTCCTCGTCAGAATCGAGCACCCTGGTTGTTCCGGGCTGGGACAGTGCAGCGATCTCTCTGCTGTAAAGAAAAGACGGTATGGCCTTCTCGAGTTCGGCGAGGCAAAGTGCATCTGGCATGGCATGGCCTGGCAAGACAAATGGCGGTTCGATGGTGGGGTGCTGTCCCCCTCGAGCTTGCGGTCGCGGGGGCCTCCAGCCTCCGCGTGCAGCGGTTGAGAGCTGTCTTTGAAGCCACAGTGCTTCGATTGTGTCGTCTCTGGAGTACAGCTGGGCGGAGGACAGCTTGTGGTGGCCCTGCAGGCGGCGGCTGTCCTCCGGCAATCTGAGCTGTGCAGAGGCGCTCAAAAGGCATGTTTTCAAGCTGTGCAGCGTGAAAGCCAATGCCTCTGTCTGTGTAACCTGGGCGGAGCCGGGTGGCAACCAGGGGGTTTGCAGCGCCCATCTCACGAAAGATAGGGCCTGAAAAAACGACATCGGTGCGGTGAAGGCTGGGCCTGGGTCTGTATCGAGTGGCGAAAGGCATGGCAGCAAGAAGTCTGGTGTGGTGTCCTGCGTGAAGCGGGTTTTCGTGGCTTGCCACGCCTGCTCGAGAAGGCGAAGCCAGGCAACCACCCAGGATGTGGACGTGCTGGTCCCTGTGAAACCGAAGGGCTGGCAAGCGAAGGGCTGGCCCTGGCTTGTTGTCTTCGTGGCCCAGCACGTGCCGCGCAGTGCGTGGGCTGACAAAGACAATGAGTGAAAGGAAATGCGTTGCAAATCTTTGAATCTCAAACTGCAATGGGCTGCGAGCAGGACGCCGCCGAGCAGTAGGCCGAGCGAGGCGGGGCAGTCTGGCTGGAGCAGTTCCTGCTCCCAAGCGACTAAGGTGGCCAAGGGCAAAGGCAATGCTTCCTTGCGCTCCTGGGGAGCACATGGCAAAGAAAAAGAGCGAATAAGAGTGTTACTCAACAAGGTTGCCAAGTTGTGCGGTGCGTGCTCGCCATGACAAGGCTTTGACTGCCTGTTTTGGGCTACACTTCAAGGCTGGGCGGTCTTCTTCCTGTGAGGATTGGCACACCTGCAAAAAATCTGCAAGTTGAGGCAGTGACAACGCGGTCGGGCTCCACAGCATTGATTGCCAAAAAACGAGGCATGTCTGCAGGATTTTTAAATACTGCGATATCGTCGGTGCTGCAAAACGTCTCAGCGAGGTTCTGAGAATTTCCATGGGGTGCGTTGAGGCAATGCACGTGCGGTGCAGTTGGCTGTGCTCTGCAAAAACTGCAAGGATGGATCGCCAATGCTCCATAAGGGATTCACGCAAATTGGCCTGTTGTGAGTAGGAAGAAGTGAACGCGCTCGTCAAGGCTGGTGGTCTTGGTCGAGGCGAGGCAATTCTGTGCAAAGGTGCGGATGTTCTCAAGCTTGTCCCCTGCTGCGCAGGAGTTTGCCAACTAGTTTTAGGCTGCACTGAGCCTGAGCACTGCTTGGGTAGCAGGCTGCGTGGCACGGGCCTCGGAGGCGGCGGTGGCAAAGGTGTGGAAAACGGTTGCCTGGGTGAACGAGAGGGAACCGAGAGGCCTCCCTTCGGGAGGCACGGTATCGCCTTAGCGAGTAGCAAAGGTGTGGCAGGCGGGTGTGGACAAATGGGTTTGGCCAAGTTGTGCACAGAGATTGGGGCACCTCGCCTATAAGGGTGAGACCGCGGCTCGCACGGTGCAGAGTTACTGCAAGTCCTGCTTGGAGGAACTTGGGCCGGGCAAGCAGTATTGACCGGTGAGGCCTCTGGGGCCGGCTGAGCCGCTGCAGGGCTTGCTTTAGAGGTTGCCTGCAACAAAGGATGGGCGTCATAGCGTATAGGTTGGCCATAGGAGGCACGGTTTCTCCACGGCATATTGGGCCATGGAGCTGCGTCCAAACAAAGCAGTGCAATACGGTAAGGCCAGGCTGGGCCTGGCAAGAACTCTTGGTCGTAAGGCAACGGCTGTTGGCAATGAAGAAGATCTTGATGACGTCGAGGCACCTGGCAGAGCAGAGCGCAGGGGGGGGGGTGTGTAACTCCCCGCCTGTTAGAAAAAAACAGAGGGGGGGGGACACCAACCCAAACGGAACCCTGTGCGGGGCAGGCTAGCGAGCCTGAGGCTGTCGCGGCGGCAACAGTTTAATTGCCTGCGGGCAAGGCTCATCTTTGCAGGAGAGAGCGATGGGGGCACTGCGGTGCGACAAATGGGGAGAACACACAAGAACCCTCCCACACAAAAAGAATCCCCAAAAAAGGGGGGCAGAAAAGGGGGCCAACGCAGAGTCCTGACGACCATCGCCACGAGGAGGTCCACGAAGCACCTGGCGGGGGAAAAAAGGCGGAACCAAAAAACAAGGAACAGCCAACGGCCTGGCGAGGCCGGTGGTATGACCCGGCTGGGCACTGCGGGCCTGTGGGTCTTGGCCCCAAGCATACTGCGGCACAGCGGGCAAGGCAGTGGCTGTGCAATTAAGGGCAGCGCTGGTGTGTTGCGTACCTGCACCAGCTGAAAGCCGTAATGTGGCGGGAATGGGCCGGCTTCGGCTGTGCAGATACCCAAAACTTGGACCCTTTTTTGGCACTGCTAGATCACAGCGAGCGATCTGGCTGTGCACGGCTAGGCAGCTGCGGCGGAGTGCCAGGCCGTGCTGATTAAAAAAGGGAAACAAGGGGGGCAATCCCGTGCTGCAGGGCGTGACCTGGCGATGGGGGTGTCCTCACTCCAAGGCGTAGCACCTGCTGCACTTGTGGGAGCTGTGTGAGTCGCTCCACACGCTTTGCACGGCGCGGCCGCAGACGCTGTTAAAGCGGCAGACGGGCAGTGCTGTGCATGGCCTACCACAACATTGGTCTCCTCTATCGTCGATGTAATAGGCGTAGAGCTCACGGCCTTCTCCGCGAATGCGTGCGGTGCGAGGCAAGACTAAGGCAGGCATGTGGATGCAGAGGTCAAGCTGTGCGATTGCCTTTGCCTCGGATGGGTCCAGTGGCTGGCTGGGCGTCGCCTTCGGCGTTGTGGCAGGCCATGGCGACTGCTGTGCTGTGCCGGTGGATGGCGACGGCATCGCCTTTGGCGCTATAGTAGGCCAGGGCGAGTGCTGTGGTGTGCCTGTGGATGGCGGAGCCGGCTGTGGCTGGGTCTGTGGTGTTGTGGTAGGCCAGGGCGAGTGCTGTGGTGTTTCAGCGGATGGCGGTGCAGGCTCTGGCTGGGTCTGCTCCGGCTCCGAAGGTTTGGCAGGGCTCCGCTGCATGCCGTGGTAAAAAATGCGTGTGTTGCGGCGCCATGCTGGGTCGGTGCTGTAGGCGTAGTGACGGCTGTCGACCCTTGTAGACTCGTCCGGTGGTTCCTGGTTTGTGCTGTCCCAATAGTTGGCCCACCAAGAGCCATCCCAGGCTGTCCAGCAGCTGTCTGTTGAAGGGCGGGGCTGGTGGTAGCAACTCTCTTGCAGGGGAGGCCACGGGCATGGTGGTGGCCTCAGAGTCTCTCTTTTCCATCTGAGGCTCTTGGATGGCAGCTGTGTTGTGCTGAGCTGGCCCGCCATCGATCAGGCCGGCCCATGGTCGTTCTTCGCTCGGCATTGGCGAGGCACTGGGCTCGTCGGTTGAAAGGCCAGTGCCTGGCTGTGCAGTTGTGCAGTGCTGGGCAATGCTGATGCAGAGCCCGGCTGCGTGGTGTCCTGTGATGCCGATGCCGAGGCGATCCAAGGTGGCTTCACTGGCGGGGGTGGGTCCTGCAAGGCGTCCAGGAACCTCGTCCTTGCGGCCTCATCCAGTTGTGAAAAGGCCACCTGGAAGGCTTTTAGGGCCTCACTTTGTGACGCCGCCATGGTGAAACGGGAGAATCTCAGCTATGCTTGAGGCGAAAAACTATGTTTGAAGGGGTGGCAGGCTGCAAGGAGTGTGTCACACGGCGGACTGTTGGCAGCGGCCCACTGTCAGTCGTGCGAGACGTGGTGCGGGGCACTTGTCGATGCTGTAGGCGAGGCAGGCGAACATCATGGCGAGGATCGCGGAGAAGTACCTGGCAGCGGAGTGGGGCAGGTAAAAACAAGGGCGAATGGGGCAAGGCGTTACCCTGAGTAATTTCTTAAAAACTGGCCAATTAGTGTTCACCCATGGTGGGTGAAAGACTGAATAGGGTCGTCCTCAGCGCTGTCGCTGAGGATGGAAAAAGCAGCTTCGTCCGTGCTATGCACAGTGCTAGGCAGGGCCGAGCGTGAAAAGCGGAATAAAGCTGCAAGGTCCTTAAGAGTACAGCACACAGATTGTGCTAGAGCAGCGGCAGCATGAAGGCCTGTGGTGGTAAAGAAATCTGCTGTGGCTGCAGCAAGGTCGTGGCTGGAGCGGAACATCTTGTCTAGGCTTCCAGAACTGACAGTGCTCCACAGGCTTTGCTGTGCAACAAAAGACCTGCTGGGTAGGTGATGTAGAGGGCCGTGCTTGGCGGCGAAGTGAAGCAGGTTTGCAGTAGTGAAGCTTTGGCAAGAGTGCGCAAATGAGAGTGTCCATTTCAACAAGGCGCGGAACTGGGCCAGGTGGAAAGTGGCGGCGTGACACCCTGCAATCTCCAGAATTGCCAACAAATAGCTTGAAGTCGTCGCGAAAGAACGAAGTCTGGTGCTGGATGAAAAAATGCCCAACACTGTCTTTTGGCCAGGCGGGGCAAAGAAGTGTGGTAGTACTTCGCACCAGGAAGCAAGCATGGCGTCGGTGGGCGTTGCAGAGCGTTCGTGAAACAACGGCCATGCGAGCATGGTGCAGTATGTACACCAAATGAAGTGAGCACTAAGGTTATGTAGAACCAAACTGCATTATGGCGGTCACAAGGCAATGTAGTACACTACAAGCAAAAAATGAATGATTTGCGGCCTGTGGTCAGGCGGGAGTGCGCTCCGCAGGACCTGGCAGGGCTTTACGTGTCTTAACTTGCAGTTAAGGGCTCGTGTTGTTGAAGTTGTGTGGCACAAGGCTGCGGCCGAGTTCAAACAGAAGATCAACTAGGCTCGGGACAGCGGTCCGTTGCGTGGCCAGTACCTTGCACAAGCAAGGCGAGGACACGCAACCCTGCAAATGGTCCAAGAACCAAAGCAGGGGTCTGGACGGCGGTCCAGCCTGC